TCCGGCACCGCTGCAGGCCAGCGGCTTCCCGGGCACTCCTGCCCTCCTTGCAAGTCCCCAGTTCGCTTCTCCCTCCTCAGTGCGCCCCAGGAGCAGCTCGCACTCCTGGTTCAGGTTGCAGTTGCCCTTCTTCACCACCCGGTCTTAGGGGTCACCCAGAGTTCCAAGCAGGGCTGCTGTCCCTCCAGTTAACCCCCCACCACGATTCCTGTCCGGTGCCCTCTACTGGTGCGCAAAATCCCCCATTCCTGGGGGGCAATCAGGTAGTTCCCACCCTGCGTCCTCCACTCCAACCAGAGACCTCCCCTTCTTGTCCCGGTAGCTCCTATAGGCCCCGGAACCAGTCCTCTGCCCAAGCAGTGACCGGTCTTTCTCTTTGGGAATAAAATCAAGCGCACTCCCCTGCCTCGGGTCCCGACCGGGCTTCTGGCTACTCGAGGATAGGCTCGGGGGTACCACTCACCCGGCCTGCCGCCCACGCCTCATTTCCCCCATCTAAATAGGCATTCTGTTGCCAGAGCAAGAAGTTTGCGGGGACTTGGAGACTTTTGGCCAGTATGGGATATCTGGGTTAAGTTACTTAACTTCCCGAAGCACTGATTCGATTTAAAAATACTCGTCCCACCTCTTAAGGTTATGAACATTAAATCACGCATGAAAAGCGCTAGCGGAACATGTAGTAAGAGCTCAATAAATGCTTTACCATTGCTGTTAGGCAAAGACTGCATTTGTCTTTAAAGTTTTAATCCTCCGTAGTATACCCGAAAACCCTTTCTTGATTGGATTTTTGCACCTTTGAGAGATGAGATTCTGCCCGTAATCCCTTCCCCTCCCAGAGGGGTCGCTGGTTCCCCGCGCCCCCATCACGCCTGGACGACTGTACCCAGTCTCCGACGCTTTGGAGGTGCTCTGGCATTGGAAGGCCTAGACAGTGGTATGGCGCAGAGTAGGGGGTTCAGCTCTTTTCAGTCCGAGGTGGGCTCTGTTTGGCTTCTCAATCCTCACACCCCTACAAAGGAGGGCCATGCAGCTGAGGGTGGGTGAGAAAAGGGGGCTGTAAATTCGGGGGAGAGTTCCAACCAATGAGACGGGAAAGAACCGAGGCATCTTGGGGCGCAGTGTTATCCAGTGCTTTCCTAATCCCAGGGTTCCAATCTCCAGGGGACTAGTGACCTAGAGAGAATCTCCTCAAGTGGAATCTGCGAAATTCATGCAGTCGATTATCCTTTCCCCTCGACCCGCTCCATAAAACGGATTCTTAGGAAAAACTCGATTTTTATTTTTTTCCCATGCGGGAGGGAAATGTAGAAACCAGGTAAATGCAAAAACCTCTGTGCCTTTCCTAGCCATTAGTTCACAGGCACCCCTGTCTCCATTCCAGGGTTCCAGTCCTCATCTCTAACCGGAACCCCAGCCCCTGTCCCGGTGTAGGCAACCCGGGGAAGCCTTTAATTCGGCCGCCACCTCCCACCTCTGCAGAGACGAATGCATTTTTCATCCCCTGAGCGTCTGTTTGTTCGCTATACAGCTGTTGGGCTCGAGAGGGTGTAGGGGCTAGAAACTCCTAGTGACCTGCAAGACCCAGCGCCTCTTGCCTCGTGGGCTGGTTTGCAAACTCCGGAAAAACTAGGTTCCGGGTCGCGACGCGCAGACACAGGAAAACTGCACCAGGCCGTGCAAAATGAGCCCAGAAAGGTACTTTGGCAGCTAGGACCTGAGGAACGCAAGCCGCCCCCCCGCCCCCATCCCCTCGCCGGTGCCAGCTCCCGGGTGCGTGCGAAATGGCTGGCGGTCAGACCGCAGGAGCATGGAGGCGCGGGGTTAATGCGCCATTCCAAATCGCGGTGCCCGCCAGCAGGAAACCACAGAGGCACCAGATTTCCCTTCCGTCTTAAGAGGGTTTTCCCTTTTTTCCTGCCTGGCCGACGGAGGGCTTTTTAAATTGGACGTGGAGATCCTCAATTAGAAGTGTGGCGAAGTTGGCAAAAGACTACACAGTGGAAAACTCCCCGCCTAGCCAGAGGAGGCTCCCGGCTGCGGTTCCCGCCCTAGGCCGAGCGCCGCCAGCGCCCCGATCCAGCTCCCCCTCTTCCTCCCGGACAGGGAGGGCGCATTCTTCCCTCTGAGCGCCGCCGGGACCGGCTCCAGTCCGAGCGGCTCTTTAGTTCCCGGTATTTGCTGGGCGGGGGAAAACGGGGGAGGTTCTGGGGACTCGGCACACAGCGTCTACTAGGACGTGTTTCTCAGAGTCTGTGTGGACTCCACCCCTCGGCTTCTCAGTTTGTCTCTCTATCGCTTTCCCAGAACACATCTACATCTGCCCGACGCGTTTCTCCTCAACCATGGGCCTTTGCCCGCGGTGCGAACTGCTTCACGCGCCGCCACGTGCGAGAACCAAGCTCTGCTCCTGAAGCGATGGGGGCTCTGCTCTGCCAGGTAACCCCGCACCGTTTCTCGTGCCTGGCAGGCTGGTCCCCTTCTGGGTCCGGGACCACCACGCTCCGGCAGGGCAAAAGCAGCAGGCTGCGGGCGCCGGCACCTGGTGGGTCCCCGGGCCTGGGGAGGCAAGGACGCCCAGGAAAGCCACAGAAGTGCTCCCAGAAGCAGCCGCTCGCTGCGAGGCATTTCTGAGTTCCCCGCAGCAGGGGGCACCAGAAACCGTCTGAGCCGTGTCACGCCCACGCGGCCCGGAGGCTGTGTTATCATTTTAGTTATAAAACCGGAGAACCATCACTCCCTCTACAAGCCTCCCGAAATCCTATTAGCCCGGGGACCTGTGAAGGTCCTCACCGGCATCTCTGCTTTTCAGGCTCCCACCCCTCGATTCTCGCTGGTTTTCCTCTCCCCACTTCACCTGAGCGGGTTTCTTGGCAACCTGCTTTTAGACCATCCCCCACCCCTTCCCCGCGTCACCGTGACAGCTTCGCAGGAGGCAGCGCTCCCGCCGTCAGTGCCCCCGCACCTTCTTGTGCCTGGCAGGCTGGGAGGTTTGTTTGGGCTTTGCCTTCAAGATCCAGGTCTCAGAGAGAGAAAGAGGAGGCGGTGGGGCGGGGAGGCGGGTTTGCTATAAACTCGAGGTTTTTTTTTTTTTTTTTGACGTGGGGAGGTAGAGACAGAAATTGCTGGAAGATCTATTGCTTTTCTTAACTATGCTTCGCGTCCTTGACTGACAGAGGACTTATTCCCCCCTTAATCTCCCATAACTGCGGGGCCCAAGATGAGGGAGGGAAAAAGAATTTGGGACACTTCTCGCAGGCCAACTGGGAAGGGGGTCTGACTGTTTAAAATGCCAGTTCCAGGTCCGAGAGCACCCGAATTGCTAGCAGGAGAGGGCTAGGGACACAGCGGACTTCCCAGAGATCGGACACTTGTTGCTTGTTGAAAAGGCGCCACCTTCCCTGCCAAAGCGAAGGCGCAGCGAAACAGTAAGAGTTTGGTCGAGGCCGACTTTGACGGCTTTGCGGGACCGGGTGCGTGAGAGAGGTTGGAAGAAACATCTCTTCCTTGAAATACCTAAGCATATATTCCAAATACTGAGCAAGAGTCGAGCGCGTTCTAACATCGCAGCAGGGGCCGGAAGAGTTGCCTTTGTCCCCGCCTATGAGCAAAAGTGTTGCGAGCTCACGGATGGGTAAGCCTCCGGAGGCGCGCACATCAGTCCTGGCGGCTGATTCTACCAAAGCCGAAACTAGCTGGGAGCCAGGAGGCTGGCGGGAACCCGCGAAAGTCCATTTCCAGCCCGAAGAGGGTTGGTTTTTCTTGGTTGGGGCAGGAAACAAACCACCAGCGCGGAATTAGCCTCGAGATGGTGTAAAGTAGTGGCAGTGGTGGTGGGGTGTTATTGGAAGGCGACACAGAGTACAGGAGAAAAAGGAGCCATTAAAATAATAACCTCAGTGGCCTAGTGGAGTCTCAAGAATATGTTCGAGACTGAGATTTGACTCCAGTACTGCCAAGAAAGCCCCTCTCCTAACCTCGACGGGGATGGTTAGTTGGGGTGGAGGGCGTTAGGAACGTGCAGGCAGCCGGGTGAGGAATGTAGCTTTGCCAGACCTCGCCCGGAGGAGGTGAGCCCTCCATTTTTAGGTTCTCAACACCTTTGCAGCAGCCCCTCCCCGGGCCTGCGCTTTGCCTTGGAACAGATCAAAACAAGCTCAATAGTAAGTTGCACCCTTGGCAATGATAGTATCTCTGCACGTCCAGAGAGGATACTTTCGACGGCGGTGGGTTCGAAGATGACCCAAGCCCTGAATCGTTCTGTGACCTGACGGAAGAGCGCCTCGCCGAGTCCGGGAAGGAAACTGCCTCTCTTGGGCATTCGGGGTCCAGGGGCATCTGGGGCTCCAGAGATCTTTGCCCACGTGGAAAGGGCAACATGCTCCTCCGAAAGGCCGGCCTCTCTCCGGTTCTACTTTTCTCTCTCCTCGCATAGCTTAGCCTCCCTCTAGTCTTTCCACTTTCTACTCTCAGACGCACCCCTCTGACTAGGGCACCCTTCAGCCAGCCGCACCCGCCCGCTACGCAGGCACCACCCGCTCCCTCCTCCCCGGCCCGCTCCCTCACTTACCTCGGATCGGGTCTCTGCAGACCCCAGGTTGGACATTAACTCCAGGTGCCCCAAGTCCCAGCCAGGAGACCCATCCGGGCTGATGGCTGGAGCGCGGAGCCCCGCCCAACAGGTCAGGGGCAAGAGTTCGCAATCCTGGGGTCGCGCGGGGCAGCAAGAGCGCCCAGGAGGCGGCAGCCAAGACTCCAGCCGCGGCCGCCGCGAACAGCGCGAGGGCTGCCGACAACTCTCTCGCCTGCCCCCCGCACCCCCAGAAGCCGAGGTCCGAGCAGCCGCCGCTGCTTTGGGTGGGGGGGAGGTGACAGGGCTGCGCGCGCCGCGCTCTTGGCTGGGGCTGCGCGGGCCCGGGGCGCTGCGGGCTGCTCAGCTGCAGCTGCGGCGCTCTGCGCCTCCTCTGGGCGCACTGCCTGGGAGCACAAGACGGGCTTGTCTGATGCTGCCGCGGGAGCTGAGGTCTTGCCTGGAGATCCGAATGAGACACCACGTCAACCGGCGCGGGGAGTCCCGTGAAGACATGAGGGCGCCAGGAGCGCAGGCTGGTCTTCTAGAGCCGGGGCTGGGGGGCCGGGAGCCGGGGTGGGGGAGGGGAGGTGCAGGGCCCCCGGGAGGGAGGGGTCGGGAGGCGTCGGCTGGGCCGGGCTGTGGGGGAGGAGAGGCGAGCAGCAAGGAGGCGCTGGAGTTCCCGAGGCGGGGGTCCGGGGTGCGAGTGGGCTACGCGAGGCGCCCCTCCCTGGGCTGCAGGGAGAGCGCTGAGAGCGTGGAGACGCCGCGGGGCTTGCGCCTTCTCCTCCGGGTGGATCAAAAATCGGCAGGAATGTGCGCCGCTCTGCGCGGGCCAGCCGAAGGGGGCAATCCGAACTTGACCGCGGCGCCCGCGCCGGGCTTCGCCCCCGCGCGCCGCACTGGGAGGGAGGCGCTTTGCCGGTGCAGCGCCGCGCCGGGCTTTCCTCGCGCCTGTCGAAGGCCGGCCTTCCCGCTCGGTTGTCTCGTCCTCTCGCTTCTCCGCAGGGCAGGAGGCAGCGGCGAGAAAAGGAGCTGCCGGGCAGCTGGAGTTCTAGCACCGAGAAGGAGAGATGCGGAGCGGCCGGGTGAGGGAAGCCGAGTGTTTGCCAGGAGACGCTGCGAGTGGGGATGAATTTATAGAGCTCTCATTCCGTGACGTGCCCTCCAGTGGCTTTTCTGATTCGCTTTCTGACCTAAACACACATTAGTTTAGTCCCCATGCTAAGGCCAACACGGTCTCCAAATATCTGCTGGCTGAAGTCAGAGGCTTTGCATATCATGTATTACATGGCAGGCAATGAAGAAGGCTTCTGAGGCTGGCCGGTTCCTCAGTCCTAGGCTCCATTTTCATGCTGTTGTAATCTAACACCAGACATGGGGTAGGCACATACATTCAGAATCCCAATTCCAGAGGCATAAGATCACTTTATCGGGAACGGGTCCGGGGAGGTTGAGCTAAACCTGCCTTTATCCAGATTTTCAAAAATGCAGATGGGAAACTTCAGCAAGCACCCCCTTGGGTGCTGAGTTTCCAGCGACCAGGGGTCCGGCCCCCATTCCAGAGCTCTGTGGATGGGAGAGGTGAGACCTTCTAGGCATTGCTTTTGTTGGTTAGCTCACCACCAGAAGCTGCCTGAGCCTTCTTTTGTAGAGGACAGGAGGAGGGCAAGTCCTTACACACCCTGTGCATGGTTTTAACCGTAAATACATTTCATTCACATGGGGCATGGAATTGGCTCTACCTCTAAAATAATGTACTAAATAGGGCATGTCTTTGCTAAGCAGAAACCTGCTTTCCGGAAGCCAGTGGACCTGAATTCAGTGGGACCTCTTTTATTTTATTAGCTGGGGCCAGGGAAAGTGTAAACAGGCTCAGTTTACTTCCATGTACCTCTTGTTTTATGACTCATCCGGTTGTTGGGGAGTATGTGTTCTTCAAGTAGCTGATACAGACAATAGGTAGGGGAAATGCGTGTGGCAATGTGGGGGGGAAGATCATGTATTATTAAACTTCTTAAAAGTCAAAGATCAGCTACTTTGCAGGTTTGTCAGTGAAGCGAGTGTGGGAGGAAAATTGTTCTTACTAATGTTGCTGTGATTTAAGATTAAGCGAAGTGAAAATCAAGTCATCCAAACATACCTTAGCTGAAATTAGGATGCTCTTTGCAGTTCTGCAGAAAATGACATTTCGCTCTTTGATAGATTTATGGTAGAAATGTAGATAGATTCAGAAATTGGAGGGCAGAATAAGCTTTTAATTTTTTATTGCCTTTTAGCGTTGTTTTCGGAATTTGAAGACGATCCTCATCAATGTTCTTACTCTGAATGATTTCTTTATTTTCAGAAGGCTTTTTGCTGGGGATGATCAGGCCGTCCAAGCACCTGCAAATATTTAGCACTTGCTGTGTGCCAGGCAAAGTGCTAGACCCTGGGCATTGTGCTGATTGGACTTTTTTGGGGGGCAGGGTGGGGGGGTTTGCAAGGAACAGATACCACTGAGTTTACCCTAAGTAATGGGAGTTTACTGTGGAAGGAAGGCTGACCGGAATCTCCACCATTCAGCCACGTGTCTCCGAAAAGCCTTCCGGAAAGGCCACCCAGCCAGGCCTCACGAAAACTGGATTGAAGTTCAGGAACTGGAAGGTCATTCAGGATACAGCCCTGTGACTGGGTTATCTCGCTGCCCCCTCAGCAGCAGGCATCTGCCGATTCCTACTAACAGGCTTAGCCGCCAAGGTGATTCAGCTCCTCTCTCGCTGTTTTTCCCTGGGTGTCCTTTGGCTTCTGCTCCTGCTACCAACTGCTCAGCTCTCAGTTGATCTCACATTTAAACTCCTTTAGTGAAAGGATCTAGTTGGCCCCGCTGGGGATTCACCAGGGGTGAGAGTTGTACTGAGCCTTTGTATCAGGCTCCTTACAGGTTGCAAAACACCCTGTATAGCCGCAGACCTGGGGGCAGGTGCCTATCCTGGGCCAATCATCCGTGTCCAGGTTGTTGGCATCATGGAGTACAGAGCCTGGCCACCTTTGCTTGAGATACTTCCTAGAGTTCCTCCCCACCTTCCCTCCACAGCAGATGGTCCTTCAGAAGGATCTGGGTTAATGGTAGGCACTTTGGGTTTTGACAGTTCTCTCCCAGCCCTTCAGAAACTATCACTACAGAGAGGGAGATATGCACATGAGTATTGATGGTATAAAGTGATAAATACTCCAACAGAAGTATGTATGAGACTCATGTCCTGGAGTCTGATTTTCACATGGCCAGTGAAACACTGGGGAGATTTGAAAAAATACCCAGACCTGTAGACTAGGCATGGTGGCTCACACCTGCAATCCCAGCACTTTGGGAGGCTGAGGCGGGTGGATCACTTGGGGTCAGGAGTTTGAGGTCAGTCTGGCCAACATGGCGAAACCCAGTCTCTACTAAAAATAGAAAAATGAGCTGGTTGTGGTGGTGGGCACCTGTAATCTCAGCTACTTGGGAGGCTGAGGCATGAGAATTGCTTGAACTTGGGAGGTGGAGATTACAGTGAGTAGTGATTGCACCGCTGTACTCCAGCCTGGATGACAGAGTGAGACTCTGTAAAAAAAAAAAAAAAAAAGTCCCACACCTAGGCCCCATTCAGGGCAATTAAATCAGAATCTCTTGAGGGGTGGAGCTCAGTGGTTGATTTTTAGATACCTCCAGGTTAATGAATTGGCTTTATCTTTTCCCAGTGGTTACAATCATCTTATGATTCTTTTTGAAAGCAAAATGAAGAAGCCCTGCTTTGATAGGTTCTAGGACTAAGACTCTTCTAAAACATTAAATTCCTTTCAAAATACAAAGTATCTTAAAACAGTAATATAAAGGAAAATGTTAAATTTAATTTAGAATTAAAGCAAATATTTCTAATTTTGAAAGAACATTTATTTACATGGCTACAGCATACAGATGAATTCAGCAAACGTTCCTTCTGTAGTGACTGCCTTGAATAGAGTTAAGATGGGAAGCAAACATTTGGTGTCTTGGGAACAAGGGGATGGCCTGATGTCGCAGTCTCACGCCCCCATAAGCTGAAAGTAGGGAGCCCTACAGCTTTGAGGCTCCATCTTCTCTATTCTGAAGAAAATGGAACAGTTTGATTTGAAGCTGTTCGTCAGCGAAGTCCAGAAGGGAAGAATTTGCAGCACCAACTCTGCTCTCAATAGGCAGGACATCTTCTGATAAAGCAACAACAGCATACTGCTAAGGATTCTCACATTGTCCCCAGATCTCAGCTTTTTATCTAGGAAACCTGCCTGAGAATCAGAGAGAGCAAACATTGTTCAAGCCTCCCATCTCCTCTTTGAGAAAAAAGGTTCGAAGCCCTACAATCTCCTGTTTCATTGCTGTTGTCCTCTTCGCCAGGATTTCTTGTCTCTAACTGAAAGTTGTCTAAATGATCGGTGCAATTTGTGCTCAAGGATCTTACAGTCCTTGGGAAGAGAAAACATAACCATAAAATGATGAAAAATACTACAGGGTATTATAAGGTTATGGAACTCAAAGTAGGCCTTGATTGGAGTAAGTAAGCAGAGAGAAGGCAGGGGTGAGGGGACACTCCAGGCTGGCTGAAAGGGTCGCTGGAGGAGACTAGATGCTAGGTGCTGCCACATTCTTGCTAAGCCTCTGTAGCCCTGTAGGCCTGCAGTCTGTAGAAGTGGTGGGGTGGGTGGGTTCGCTTTTGGCCATTCACAGAGTCCTTGGCCAGTTCCCAGTGGAGCTTTGCAGCTGCTTTGACTATAAGGGCCAGGACCCGGGTCCCTGGACTGCCTCATAACTTGGGTCGTGAGGACTGAAACAGAATCCATCATTTAAGCAGGGCAATTTCCTTTTCAAAGTCACTGCTTTATTGGACCGCGATTTGTTCCATGCTTGCTTGCTTTTAACAGCCATTTTCACGAATGATCCTATTACTCATGAAGGAAAGATAGATTTGCCTTCAGACCACTTAAAAAAAGTGAAAAGAAAAAAAAAAGGAAAGGGGAAAAATTCACTGTAATGGCCTTTTTGCAAGTAGTGGGAAGTGACAAATTCTTTGGAGTAAATCGTTTCTCGTAAGAAATCAATCCTGACGTTGGAGATTTATCGGTGGTTTCCAGCAGTTTCTTTCATAAGGATCAAATTTTCTAATTGTCCACTAATTTTGTTTTTGGCTCTTGAAATTACTTTGTGAGATTCCTCTTTGCCAGAGATAAAACTTCAGTCAGGTGAGAGTGTTGCAGCAGACTTTCTTACTATGCAAATGGCCTGATGGCTTAGGTCTGGGGTTAGCAAACGTTTTCTGTAAAGACCCTAAATATTTTAGGCTTTGCAGGCATACTGTCTATGTTGCAACTTCTCAACTCTAGCCTTGTGTTGCAAGAGCACCCACAGATGATATGTAAATGATAATATAATTTTTTTCCATGTCATGTAATACTTTTTTGATTTTTAAATGTAAAAACCATTCTTAGCTCATGGACTATACAAAAGCAGGCAGTGGACGAGATATGACCCAAGGGCTATGATTTGCCGACTCCAGTACAGGTTAAAGTTATCACTTTGATGAGACTTATCAGCTCCAGAATTGGAAGGGACCTGAGACTTCTAGTCCAAGCTCCTCATCTTACAAGGGGAGAAAATGGAGGCAGAGAGTGGTTAAGTGGCTACCCAATGCCACTCTTTGACAGTCTTACCATCCAAGTAAGTGTGCTATACAGTTATTTCACTGGTTTTATATGTATGTGTGTGTGTGTGTGTATGTGTATGGAAGGGGGCACATAGGGAGTGTTCTGTCACCTTTCAAATTGTGATTTAGTGTATTTTATTGAGGCAAGAAGTAAATCAAAATTCAGGTAAATCAACTGGGATCTCTATTGGGGGCAGAGGTTAATGTCAGGTTGAATGGGTAGCAGAACTTTGAAAAGAAGTTGATTGCTGCGTTTTGGAACAGCAAAACTCCCAGGCAGAGAGCAGAGCAGTAAATACATTTTTTTACCCCTTAAGAGGCCATGATATTTTTGTAATTGGCTTTTAGACAGCCATCACAAAGGCACAGAGATAGGTGGGGGTTGGGCGGAAGAGAGAGATTTGAGTGGGGAGTCGAGATACCAGTATCCTAATTCTTTTGTGGACCACCTAGTTCCTGTTGTACACTTTTGGAATCTTCCTAAAGAATGGGAATTCATAGTGGTCAGTTGATTCTGACAAGGACTCAGTATTTGGACCTTTGTTTATTTATTTATTTATTTTTGTAAAGAAAATAGGCTGGACGTGGTGGCTTATACCTGTAATCCCAGCACCTTGGGAGGCCGAGGCGGGTGGATTGCCTGAGGTCAGGAGTTTGAGACCAGCCTGCCCGACATGGTGAAATCCCGTCTCTACTGAAAATACAAAACAGTTAGCCACACGTGATGGCATGCAGCTCTAATCCCAGCTACTCGGGAGGCTGAGACAGGGGAATTGCTTGAACTAGGAGGGTGGAGGTTGCAGTGAGCTGGGATCATGCCACTGCACTCCAGCCTGGGCGACAGAGTGAGACTCCATCTCAAAAAAAAAAAGAAAAAAAAGAAAAAAAGAGCAAAAAGAAAATAGAGATGTAGTCTCCCTATATTGCCTAGGCTGGTCTGGAACTCCTGGGCTCAAGCTGTCTTTCCACCTGGTCTCCCAAAGTGCTGGGATAACAGACATGAGCTGCTGCCTCTGGCCAGTATTTGGATCTTTAAGCCAAAATTTTCCAAGAGACCTCCATGCCATATATTAATTACGTAATAAACAAACTTCAGTCTAGTCTCTTCTGCTCTTACCTAAAATACATGAATTGTTTGACTCTTTCCAAGAATGGCAACAGAGCAACATGACACCCATTCCTCTTTACTCTTACACCGCCTCCTCCATTGCCTTCTCCATTTTTCCTCCATGTGGGAACACTAATCAATCAATTCTTGAATCCTCAACAATTATTTATGGATTTAATAGAAGCAAGCAGTGCATGCGAGTGTGGATTTTATGGTCCCTTGAGTGTTTCAAGCTAATACATATCTCACTGATGTAGCAGCAGGGCCAGGACTCAGGTGAAGCCACTGAGGCACCTCTCTCACCTCACCCTAGTCCTGGCCCTGATTAGCAGAAACTTCAGGTTGACACCCCCAAGTCCCACAGCCTCGAGTTGAGAGGAAGGCATGCCAGTGATCAGGCAACTCAAGTTGGACCTCTGCCCCTGACAAGCTGTGGGAGCTTGGGAAACTTGTAGCCTCACCTATTTTTCTACCCATTTTTCTTTTCTTGCTCCTTCTCTCCCTCCCTGGGAATCTATGTGAATAGATGAGATAATAAACCAGGTTTTCTGAGTTCATAAGTTACTCCCTGGGAATAATTTATATTGCACAAATACTTTCCGGTCACTGGGGTATTATTTGGTAAATTACTGCCCTCCTGCAATGCTGTAAGTGGAACCCTAGTGACCTGAAAGAGTTAAATGCCTCCCTGCAAGCAATTAACTTACTCCTGGGGCATAATTTACACTCTAAGAGGATCTGGCGGACCATATGTGAAGCACTTGGAATTCTTTGAGAGAAAGGCAGCTCTAGAAATGTAAAGAATTAATATTACACAAGGCGAATTTGCAGACATTTCTTCGAGCTGTTTATCATGTAACTTCCCAGAAGAGGCCTGTAAGGTAGGTCATTGTTATCCTTTCCAGAGGCACTCTCTAGCCAATGGTAAGTCAGCA